GTGCACTGTATGTTTTTGACAAGTTTTCAATATCTAGGTTTTGCCTGTTTCGTTTTTTTTTACTTGATTCTTTTTTATATTTCCACTTCTGTAATATACTTATGCTTTAAATTGGATACTAATATTTTTGGTATCCTAAATACACTATCATTTAGCTCCACCACACTAAATAGATATAACACTTAAAATTCTCAGTTTATTTATAGGTTTTGTTACATAATACCCCTTGAGTGAGAGTATTGTCTTCCTTATATTTCACAAGACATTTAATGTTTTTACTTTTCTTTATTTCTTCAAAGAGATTTAAAAACCTATGTATATATTAAATGTTTTTTTTTATCCCCCTATAATATATTTTTGGGCAGAGAATAATAATTTATTTGTATGTATTACTGCAGGAGTGAAAAGGTTTTCAGATAACATCAATGAGATGACTGGCCAATCTCCCAACTGGTATTTTGTGATTAGCTGGGTGTTTGTTGCTCCTGTTGTCTGTATAGTAAGTGTTGTTTAAATTGTCTGCTTCAATTAGTATAGTTTTATTTAGAGCTTATTTAATTGCATAGAAAACAAATTAGGTAGTGTGTAGTATTCAATTGATTAAATTAAATCTTTAGAAGTCTCAATTTATTCAATATAACAGACTTTCTGAGTGGTGTAAGCACTTACAAAATCTGTGCTTAACACATTTCAATTGGGTTTGGGAGTACAATCTAGTTTATGCAAGCTGTCAATAGCTTAAGGTCTCAAGAGTATTTTAGTAATGTCATTGACTTTTTGAGTGTAATAATGTTGATACAGAACATTTGTTCAGTTTTAATACTGTACAAAATATTAGAAATGTAAAAGTAAATAAAACTACTACTACTAGGATAACTTTTGTGTATCATCTAATGGAAAGAATAACCATTAGTGCTAAGTTGTAAAATAAAAATGTTAACAGTACCTTTGAAGCTTTTTGTGTAATGCTCCCAAATGAAGTATTTTACCCTAAGTTAAAGGCCTCTAATCATGAGAATACCCTTCACATTTCAGAGCATCTTCCTGTTTTCAGTCATCCGTTACAAACCCCTTGTGTATGCTCAGACTTATGAGTATCCGTGGTGGGGTCAGTTGATTGGCTGGCTCATTGCTCTGTCTTCAATGATCTGGATTCCCTGTTATATGATCTACTTTCTGGCTGTTACTCCTGGAACGTTGAAAGAGGTGAGAGATCTATTACCTCTTAGAGATATATCATTTTCTAATGTAAAATATATTGTTCTATATTTCTTCAAGAATTCAAATAGATTTAAAAACCTATGTATGTATTAAATACATGTTATCTATTTACAGGAATACCTCAACATTATTCTAAGTTGTAACTGTAGTTTAATTAGAGCTCTAAATAAACTTGCAATTTCTGTTACATGATTGATATGTATGCCAACTGCTAGTTTCCAATTTTTATTGCCTGTGGATGAAAGAATAGTATCTAATGCATTACATTAGATATTGAATACTTTTAAGCAAGCTTCATTGGACAAAACAAAGATTAATAGTTTCAGTTGAATCCTCAAACACCAACAAAAATAACTTCATATTATTATATATTTTTATTTAAAGCACCATTGTTTATCTGTAGCGTGTCATTGCCGGAATTACTCCACGGGTGAAACCACTCAGGGATCAAAGAGGGAGTAATACTCCTGAAGAAGCAGTTCCTTTAGAGAATGGATGTTATGGTGTTCCTCCTCCAGCATACTGTGAAACTATGGAAGAAGTGTGAGTTTTCATCCATGCTGGCTGTCCATGTTCTACAGAGTTTGAAGCCATTACTAAAGAAAAGTGTTCCACTGTGATCAAGCTGTGGGGGTTTTAATGTCCAGCATATTAGGTCTGCGGCCCGGGTGTCGCAGATAAAAGATAACCCATGGTTTTCTTAACCAAAGATGAGGATAAAGTCAGAAGAACAGTGGACAGCCTGAACTTTCCTGTGTGAAGTTCTGAGTTGCATAATATACAAAAATCCTGGTCAGGCAAAACTGAGAAGCACCATTGGGGAAACAGCCATCAGTGACTTGTAGATATTTCAAAAGTTTTGTGTATCGTTAAACCTGCAATCTAAACCAAATGAATAGTATTTTTAACGTGTAAATATCCAGAAGAATGTTTGTTTTTTGTATTTAATTATAACCGATGATTCTATATTCGATTTTTTTTTTAAGTGCTTCCTTTCTACCAAAATATTTTACTGCTTTCGTAATTGTACTCTGTGAAACAAAAATCCCTTTTTTTTTATGTTGAGAAAAAAATTAAACTGAATATTGTCAAGGGTGAATGTTTCCCTTAGAAATTGTGCAAAATAGATTTGGATTAGGTATGTTTAAATTTTGCCATAAACATGTAGTTCAATATGTATATAAACAGTATAAAATAATTTTTCTAAGCTTGTACAATCCAGTGAGCAGCTATTTCATTACAGTTTCAACAGAATTTTGACAAACAATTACAGCAGAAGGAACTTCACCAGAGATATTTGGCTGTAAATACTGCAAGTCTTTGTATTTTCATTTTGAACAAAATGATAGATCTATTGCCTTTTAATTTAAATAGTATCTGATTTTTCCGTGATAGTTGCATATAGATTCAATTTCTATATTTGGTACATCCAAGCAAAAATGGTAGACTTTTGGATCAACTTTTACTTAAAACATCAGATATCAGAAAAATGTAGTAAAAGAAGATTTCTTTCCAGAATATTGGTAAAATCTTTTAGGGACCAGGAAATCTTATTTCCCAAAATTCTTTAAAAAAAAAAAAAGGAAAAAGAGAAATAATTTTATTAGCATAATGATTTCGAACCTGCAGTATTACACAGTTTTATTATTTAATTGCATATCATCACAATTGTCCAGAGATTTTTGAAAAATGTCAAAATGTACTGTGTATATGTTGGTTGTTTCAATTTCAAATTTTTGAAACACATTTGATCATAGTATTAGTGATTATTTTTAATTAATTGCATTTTTTGTGCCCTCGGTTTAATTAATCAGATCATATAATGTGCTTGTCTTTATCATTAAATTTGTATTGAAGTTTCCTTTGTTTTGTTATTTTGAATATTTTTCCAGATGTCCTGTATCTAATATTAGAGTGTGATTGCTACAAGTACATTTTATAAAGATTTTCCAGTCAAGTACATTTCTCAAAGTGATGGTTAGACAAAAACAACAGAGTAGAAAGTTGTATGTAGAATAAAGAAAGATGAGCAGCAATGATATTCTGCTTCCAAAAACAATCTTCCTAGTAAACCTTACAGAACAGAAGAGACCATTTAAAACCAATGGGTTAGGTAA